TAAAGTTATTCAAATACATACATCATGCAGAGCCTGATAGGAAAAATATGTAGCATCTACATTGTTGTGCTGAGTGGTTATATTACTACCTTAAAAAATAAGCAGAAACTCGACGTTTCGAGCGAAGGCCCTTCGTCAAGAGTTAGTAGCAGGAATCGGGAAAATTGCACGGGCTTTTATACTAAGAGTATGAAAGCATCACGAGACAAAAAATAAACCAATTAGATGGATTTAATAATAACAAAGTGTAAACAAAATATATAAATCGCATTACAGAATTATAATATAATTAAAAATATAAAAATAAACAGGAAGTTAAGACAATTAGTACAAAAAATAATCAAAACAAAACACGAGTGGGAATAAGGTAAAAGTAAAAGTAATAAATAGAAGTCGTCAATGTCTGCTATAGACAGGCAAGGACAGATGGCATCATAGGGATCATCAAGGACAGATGGCATTAAACATAAGAAAAGCGTTCATTAATGCCAGAAGGGTGAACAGTGCCAAGTTTGGGTATGAGGCGCATTTCATGTCGTTTGCGGCTATCGTTGCTTCCAGAAATGGGACAGAGGGCTCGAATTAACATATCTGAAACACTGTGATTGCCATCATTAAAATGTCTGCCAACAGGTTGGTTAGCATCATTGCCAATAACTGCACGCCGATGCTCACCAAACCTTGTCCTTAAACATCTTCCAGTTTCCCCCAATGTAAAGCATGCCGCATCTGCTGCAAGAGATGCAGTAGATGAGATGGGAGGAGGCGCACGTGAAATGGTGCTTGATGTGAAATTCAGATTTAGGTGCCGAAACAATAGTGGTGGAATCTATAAAATCACAGGTTTTACATTTCGACGACAGGCAAGGAAGAGTGCCTTTCTGTGACGTCGAAGCCTGTGTTAGGGAGCTATGGACAAGGGTTTCACGGATATTTTGCTGTGTCGAAAAGAGACAAAGGGGTTATCGGAGAAAATGGAAGATGTTTCAGGGTCGTTTTTCAAAATATGGAAATTCTTGTTGATGACATCTCTAACTTTGAAATTGAAAGGATGATAGTTTAATACTAGGGGGATTTTGTTGTTGCCTGTGACATTAGACACACGGTCTGTGAGGGTGTCAGAATGGGGAATTTGGGAGGCCTTCGAAAAGGCAGTGTCTAATGGAGAGGTAGGATAACCACGCTGGACAAAAAAGTGTCTCATCTCCAGACTTTTGGCCTGAAAATCATCGTCTTCACTGCAGATGCGGCGAAGACGAAGGAACTGAGAAAAGGAAATCGACCTTTTGGTGTGGTTGGGGTGGGAAGAGGAAAATAGAAGATAGCTATGGGAATCAGTGGGCTTGTAGAACACAGAATTAGATAGTTTGTTACCATTGATTGATACAAGGATATCTACGAATGATACACTGGTCTCACTGATCTCCCATGTGAACTCGAGTGCTGGATGAAAATTATTAACAAAGTTAATAAAGCGTTCCAATTCGACACGAGAACATGATGCTGTGCCAAGACAGTCATCTATGTACCTATCAAGGTAATCAGGGATGGGATCAGTGTACTGTTCGAAGATTTGTTTTTCCACAAAACCAACAAACAAATTAGCATAGTTGGGTCCCATTTTAGTTCCCATTGCTACACCATTTATCTGTTGGTGATGCTCACCATCAAAGGAAAAATTGTTGAGGGTAAGCACCAACTCAGCCAATCGGACCAAAACAGAAGTGGCCGGTTCCTGGTTAGGGCGTTTATCTAGAAAGAATTTGAGGGCCCTTAAACATCATGATGCGGAATTACAGTGTATAAGGATTTGACGTCCATGGTGAAAATGAATTTGTGGGTGCCATGAAAATGAATGTTCTGGAGAATTTGAAGAGCTTGCTTGCTATCCTTGATATAGGATGGTAAGACCTTAACCAAGGGTGCCATGGCACGATCGAGAAAACTGGAGATGAGTTCGGTGGGACAACCACAAGCAGATACAATAGGTCTACCTGGGTTGTCAGGTTTGTGAATTTTGGGCAAGAAGTACATGACAGGTGTGCGAGGTGTGATGTGTATGAGGTTTTTGGCAGTCTCAGGGAGATCACCAGTGTTGATAAAGTTATGAATGGTCGAGTGATGGTGGTTTGATGAATGGAAGTCAAAGCCTTGTCAACCCTCCTGTAAAAAATGGCATCACCCAATTGTCGGTGGGCTTCATTACGGTATAAATCAGCTCTCCAAACAACTAAGGCACCACCCTTATCAGCAGGTTTGATAACAATGTCATTACGAGCATGGAGTGATTGGCCGGCGCTAAATTCATTGTCAGTGAGGTTGGATGGCCTTTTGGGCCTAAATTTGGGGAGTTGTTCTATATCATGTCGACATTGTCGAATAAATAGTTGAAGGGACCCATATTGGTCTTCTGGGGGAGACCAAGAAGATTTTTTGGGGTTGATAGCCTCAAAAACGTCCTTGTGGGGGACGGAGGATTGAATATGGAAATGTGCTTTCAGACGCAAGCGTCTGAAAAATTATTCGGTGTCGGTGTAGATACTGTTTGTATATACATTGTTTGTATAGAGAGTGAAAGCTAATTTTGTCAAAGACAAAGTACTATGAAATTAGTGTTTATTGATTCTTTATGAAAAAATTGTGTACTGTATAAAAATTACTTGCTTGACTGGTGATGAACCCTTGTTTATAATATATTAGAACACCTCAAAACGTGTATAGAAAACGTTTCCTTCCTTCAATGTATAGAAAACGTTTAATGCCAGAAAATATTTTATCCCCCGCCAAGAAATTCTTTATTCTTTGTAGTTTTATTCTATAAATACATTACCAATACTCTATCACGCCAGCGTTGTTCCTTTTGATCTGTCGTTTGATTGGGCATAAATTCGTGTGAAATTTGCGAAACCCTCCTTCAAGATTGATTTGATGTAAGTATTCTTCAAAGTATAAAGTATATCAATCTGTACAAATCGTTATGATTAATGATTATGATTAATGAATGTTAATAATTAGTAGATTAACCTATACAACTGGCGGCGGAATTAATTAGTATGCAGATGACATCAGCAACTATTTTGTCGCATAACATGTGTCGCGCGACATGAATTGTCGCATAACATGTGTCGCGCGATATGAATTATTGCATAACATTTATCGCGCGACATGAATTGTTGCATAACATTTGTAGCGCGACATGACGTCAGCAATTATTTTTGTCACATAACATTTGTCGCGCGATGTTTTGTATAAAACATTGGTCTTCGAATAAGAAAGAGTATAGTGTTCATAGTTCTGAGATAACACTGTTGATATGGTTACGAAAATTAAGGATTGTCAAACGATAGCGGAGTTATTATTATTATTATTATTAAGACTTATTTACAAACAATAACCCTTCAGCCTACGCTGCTTTTAAAGGGGTTGTTTACATAAAAGAAAGTACAAAATAAATATTTACAAAATAGTATAAGTATTTACAAAATAGTGTAATTGACTAGGAGTCTTTACAATTGGATATTTTATCAACGTAGGTGATTGTTGGGCTTAGTTTTAAAAGAATGTATCGTCAACTGTTCGTGAACGTCTAAGATTTCGTTAGGTAATGAGTTCCAGGCGGAAGCTCCTCGATATGAAAATTACTTTTTCATAAATGATCTATTAGGTTTATCGAGAGTTAGTTTCCGCCCGTTGCTCCGCATGTGGTGACTTCTATTATCACAGTAGGAAAACATATTACAGATGCACTCCGGCGCTATACCTCGGATAGCCTTAAACGTAATTAAAA